CAGAGGGCATTCCAAAGACAGGAAATGAGTGCAAAGGTGAGATAGGGGGCCCTGCTGGGTGTGTTCAGTGGAGAGCAGGAGTAGAAGAGTTTCAGAGATGGGATGAGGAAGAGTGAGTGGGCTGAAGTGCTCAGAAGATACAGTAAATCACTGCTGTGAAGGAGAGAGGAAAGCGTTAGAGGGTTTTAAACAAAGCAATGACATAATTTTTTTTTTTTTTAAATCACTGTGTCTGCTGTGTTGAAAACAGTCTGTAAAGGGGCAGGGGTTGAACCACAGAGACCTGTCAGGGGCTACTACAAGCAATTTTGTAGAGATGACGGTATGGTATCTTTGACCAGGGTCAAATGGCAAAGGTAGTTTAAAAGTGGATGAATTCTGAATACACTTTGAAGGAAGAGCAGCAAGGTAATCTGGTGGATTAGAGGCCAAATGAGGGTATCAAGAATGACTTCAAGATTTTTGGTATAGCAGCTGGAAGGATGGGAGAGGACAATAAGGAAAGTGTGCTTCCTAAAGGTAGGAAGTAAATCAGAAGTTTGGGCCACGTCAAACTTGAAATGCTTATTAGCAAAGCGGAGAGGATGTATAGGCAGATGCGTATATAAATTTGGAGTGAATATGGCATTATGGAATTATCAGCATACAGATGGTATCTAAAGTCAGAAGACTGGGTGGGATTACCTAGAGAGTGAGTATACAGAGAAAGGAGATTGGAGACCACAGCCATTTAGAAGCCGGGGAGATAAAGAGAAGTCAGTAAAGGAGACTGAAAAAGAACAGCTAGCATATTCTGGGCTAATGTTAAGACTAGAAAATAGTCTTATTTTCTAGACACACAGTATCATATTCCAGTCTTATATGCTTCCCTCCACAGACATTTGACGAATTGCCAAGCAAAACCCCATCTCTAATTATCAGCAATTTACTGGAATGAAGCTTTTTGAAGCAAAAGACCCAACATTAGGACAGCAATCGAGAAAACACTAGTAAAGACAGCAGACTATCAACTGACCAATTGGTCAAAAGTTTCCATTCTTACAATATTAGATATAGTTTAGGATGTGCAGAAATGGAACATCTCTTCTGGAGAACAATTTAAAATTATAAAGCAAAATTAATTTTCTAGGTGTCTACATTAAAAGGTGATAAAGTTTATACAAATTTAAAAACAAACAAAACCATATACTATTCATTACTATTCATATATATATATGTGTGTGTGTGTGTGTGTGTGTGTATATATATATGTATGTATATACACAAATTAAAGGAATTGAAAGGAAAAGACTTAAATGCAATTAGTATTTGCCCCTGGGGGGGAGTGACTGACAATGATGGATAAGGAAAACTATATATAATATGTAATTATTTAGCTTTTTTTCACACATATATTGAATTTATGAAAAAGATTTGAAACAAATGTGAGAAAATATTTACAGGGTAGGGCAAAAGTAGGTTCATAGTTGTCTGTATGGAAAATAATACAATAAATAATAATACAAGAATAAACTCTGTTTCATGTACTCATCTACTTTTGCCCACCCTGTATAATCAACTCTGGTGTGAAGACATGAGCGCATGTAATAAAACTCTTTGTAACTTTTTGTGTTTAAAAAAACTCAAAATATCTTTTAAAAATACAAAAGAAAAGGAAATTTTATTTAAGACAATTTGTTTAAAACAACAAGTGTTTACTACATTTATAACTGTATCCCAAGCCTACAATAAAGCAAAAGTAGAAGAATATAGTTTGTTGGCATATCAATAAATTACTAGGCCCCTACTATTACACAGCACTTGGCAAAATCCACCCACATACTATAATTTACTATTCAGTCAAAACTGTGATAGAACTTTGAGTACACTACCCCTAAATACAGTAATTAAAAAAAATTAAACTGTGAGAAAAACATGTAAAACTACCCAGTTTTATCAGAAGATCTAATCTGAAGAGAAAATTAGGCTGTATGTTTGAGTTACAATCAAAAGGCTTGTATCAAGTGCTTTCGGAGTGAGACAGAAATACAAAAATAAATGAATAGATATGTAAGTGCATCAGTCAGCCAGCCAATCTAAACAATAAATGATAATTAATGGAAACAATACTTATTTCTCCTATGCAAATTTGGGACATAAGTACTGCTTTTTAACAAGTTTAGTGGACTCTACAGACACTCCCGTTAATTTTTTATAGGATTCCTCTTCTTGAAGGAGTAAAACATATAACAGCATGTACTAGTATAATAATACCTTTTATATTTACATATTTTTTAGACATCCATGTTTCATATTGCAACATCTACTTTATACTTTTCTAGTCTTTGGGTAATAAATATACGTGCTGAAACTGTTACTCATTTTCCCTAGCTTTTTACTTCTGAATTGCTCAATATAATAAAGACACTGACAAAAGACACTGACACAGAATTAAAGCCCTAACAATTAAAAAATTAGTTTTTACATGTGAAATCGAAAAAAACTCCAAAAAACCGAAAAACCAACCTCACCAAAACCCGCCCCCCCAAATAAAAAAACAAACCCATAGAAAAAGAGATCAGGTTAGTGGTTACCAGAGGCAGGTGGGTGAGAGAAGGAAAAACTGAAAAATGGTGGTCAAAAGGTACAAAGTTCTAATTACAAGATAAGTACCAGGGATGTAATGTGTAGCATGGTGACAACAGTTAATAGTGCTCTATGCTATATGAGGGGGGACCCCAAAAAACCAGAATTATCTTCTGGAGGGCAGGCCCCTTGCAGTGCAGGCTTTTTCCGCTACGTGAGTGTTCTAGGAACCCATCTGTATCAGCGTATGAGCTGGTGTTATTCCGAGAGGCTGCATTTGGCTTCAGTAAATTGTTTTTAAAAGACTCAGTGCATTTGCCATTTCATGATGGGTGAGTTAGGAGCACACCTGCCTACCTCTGCCACTGCGTGTTCAGCAGTTTTCGACCAAAAACAGCACGACCCCCGTGCCCCACCCTCCCTATTCACCCAGTCTTGCCCTGAATGGCATTTTTTGTTTTTTCTTTCCCTGGATGAAAAAAGTCCTCAAAAGAAAACACCTTGCCAACATGGAAGACTCAAGACAAAAAAAGTCAGAAGCACTAAAAGACATCAAAATAGACAAGTTCAAAAACTGTCTTGAGCAGAGGAAAAAAATGTCTTGATAGGTGTGTTGCATCAAATTGGAGAGTATTTTGAAGGTGACTGAAGTTTAAACATGTAAGAATAAATACACAATTTTTTATAAATAAATTGATTTTTTGGGGGGTCCCCCTTATATATGAAAGTTGTTAAGAGCATTCTCATCACAAGGAAAATACCTTTTTCATTTCTTACTTCTCTTTTATTGTATCTATATGAGATAAATGAATGCTAACTAAATTTATTGTGATTATTTCACAATATACATATAATCTATACCACTTTGGTGTACAACTTAATCTTATATAGTGATGTATATCAGTTATGTTTCAATATAACTAAAAAAAAATTGGCTTTTAATAAACATGTTCCTAGGACAAAAAGTTACAGATGTTAATGGGGTGTATTTTTAAATCCTAATTTTGTCATCCTCAGTATGTATCAAATCACCACATTGTATACAAACCATCAAAAAGCTCCTTATTGTCCTAAATTTGTTGTGGTTATCTTTTCCTTATTCAGAATATATCAGTTCCCCAAAGGGGTTAAAGACAGTCCTTTCCTGTGCTTATAATAATAAATCATCTCAGCTGAACCACTTAAGATGTCAGTCACTTTCCTAGCATTTTTAGAAATAAAGTCAGGCTGATTAATTTAGTGTGATACTGGTTGTCTGGAAGAATTAGATGCATTTGGTTTTATACTTATATTTTAATGTTGTTCTCACCTTTTTTCCTTTGGAAATTTTCTCTACATCATACTAATACATATTAAATAAAACAAGCAAGGAGGTAAATGTTTAATTTAAGGCTTTTTTTTTTTAAAGCAGGAGGGCAACTTTTTTCTTCCACTTAACTCTTTTTGTTGATCAAGTCTTGAGTTTTAAAAAAAGTCTTAAAAAAGGATGTCTATTCTCCTTAACAGGTTTACTTTTCCTCAAAACTGATTAAAGATAAATACTTTTATTTGTTGAGTTAACATTGTTAAGAAAACGCCTGGTAACTTTTTCAAAATAACAAACATTTGGGGGAACAACCAAATGTTTATTTTTATTCCACAAATGTTTCCAGAGCAGCTGCTAGGTGCAAGGCACTCTGCTAATGGCTGTGGGTGAAGCAAGCGTTACTCAGTCATTGATTCTGCTTGTGATATGCTCAAGAATTTCAGTGGGGAGGTAAGGTAAGCATGTAAATCATCACAAAATAATGTAGAAAGGGATTCAAATACTTTCAGATGGAAAACTAAAACACTGTAAGAGTTCAGAGGAGGGAAAAACTGCTTCCCACGAGTAGTATGGGAAGGGAAAATCAGAGAAGGCTTCATGACAGCAGTGGATATGAATAGATCTTGGAGGAAAGTAAGACTTTGACCAATACAGACTGGGAGCCAGGTTTGCGTGAGGGTTGAGGGCAGGGGTTTTCAGGGAGGGCTGCATAAGTAGAAAGCTGGATCAACGGCTATGTAAGCGGGAAATTCAAGCATTAGGATAGGTAAAAGAAAAATGATAAAAGTGAAGAAGTAGGTTAGGCACCAGATTACAAAGGACTTTGAGGATGCAAGGTCAAGTGGCTCATACTTTATCTGGCAGGCAAACAGAAACCAATGAAGACTTGGAGCAGAAGAGCAGTATGATAAGACACGTGCTTCAGGAAGATCAATTTGACATCATTGGGATAGACAGGTAGGAAAGAAGACAAATTAGAGATGAGCAAACTGTGAGTCTACAGCATAATAAAATTAGAGGTAATGAAAATAGAAACAAAGCAGTATCAGTGGGAATGAAAAGAAGAATATGGATGCAAAAAATAGTACATTGTAAATAGCATTTATGAACAATATGGATAAAGCCTTACCTGATTCTTCTGTATCTTGTTCATCTATTAAACCTACTGAGACGCCTAAATCCACACATTTCTTGCTATGTGTCTTGGACTTCATGTGTTTTGTCAGATTTCCTTAAGGGAAAAGAATGTTTACTGAGCTTACATAGTATTATTTTGCTATTGCATTTGTCAACACTGGCAAATTCCAATTCTAGTTCAAGTGAAAGTACAAGTTGTGGTTATACAATCCCAATGACTAAAACTGGACAAAAGAAAATACTGGTATCTATATGTTTTAAAAACCCTGTTATTTGTTTATAGCTTCTCTTTTTCAAATCTGACTCCTCTCATTTGATAATGTCTACTCTGGGTCAGTTTTCCAATTACTTCTGCCTGGGACATTAGTGGTTTCACACCACTGATTCTGGACCAGGTTTTTGTTTTGTTTTTTTTTTGTTTTTTTTTACATGGCATAGGTATAGGGTTTCAATATTTAGCAGGTAGCTTCCCCCTCAAAGTCCCTAGACAGAGGAGCCAGGCTTATTTCAGAGGCCTTGATTCCACTGCAGCATTAGCATTAACACCCCAATTATTTTTGCATATATCTGGATGGCTTTGATCTCTCTGTGGACTTTTTTAAGTATCTGTTCATCAAGCTATCTTGGAAGTTTTTTTTTTATTTTTGGTACCTGGGAATTAGCCTTTTAAATTTCAAGCTTGACTATTAAAAACTATATTTGGTGGTTGTTACATCATAAGCAGTAATTCTTTGTGTCTGGAACATAAGAAAAAATTCCCTGCATTACTTTAATTTCACCATATTGACTAGAAGTCTCCCTGTAGTATCTCTAAAGGCATGTTTCCTCTGACAGCTGGTGCATGGACCCCTATACATACTACCAGGTTAAGTGGGAACGACTAGGTGTGCCTGCCCCAAGTGATCATGAATGCAGGGTGAGAGCTTGGATTCTTCTGGGACTACCAAACAGAATGCCATACACAAAAAAACTGCCAATATGTGAAAACTGTCTCCTTTGAGAAAAGAAATAAAATCTAAATGCTGAGTTTGGTGAGCAGGGAAAATTAGTATTTGAGAATAAGTCTTTAGAAGAACTAAAAATGCCTGAATTATGGGCCTGCAGTAGTTGAAGGGCCTGCAAAGTTGCTATATTTACAGAGCCTCAATTCCATTAAAAATGCACCAAGTCCGTGGAACTGGTTGGTCACATTTGTTCAAGCCAATTCTTACACTAGACAGTGTGCACAGCATCCCATAGCTTAGTGCTTCAGGGGTTCAAGTGTAAGAGGGTACTCAGGCCAGAAAATGCTAGGATTCATCAAACCTGACCTCTCTGACTCTAGAGATAACACTTGGCTTAAACAGCATGACCATGTGTGACATTTACTTAAAATTCACTTAAACATAATAAAACATAAAGCAAATATGGTGAAATAATAATTACCTTTAAATGATGGGTATACCAGTGTTTATTATACAAATCTTTACTTTTCTGTGTGCTTTAGTATTTTCACATTTAAAAGTTATAACAAATGGTTTGGCCATGTTAATTGGCTGAAATTTCCACTTACTAGTCAAAACATTTTCTAGTCTAATAACAATATTACCCAAATACAGGGTTCATTAATAATTTTCTTTCAAAATGCTTTTCCTCCCAAAATAGATAGCCGCAGAAGGTTATTTCCTTTCAAAAAAGTTACTGTATAATTGTAACTAGGCATATTTGGGAATACACGTTTTTAATAAGGAAATTTTCTCATAACTTGAGCTATTACTATTAACCAACCTCTTAAATAATTTAAAATATACAAAACTTGCATTTAAATATGCATATTAAAATGCAAATATCCCCTAGCACTGCTATAAACTTTGTGCATTAATTTAATAGATAAAACTTTTAACAGATTTAATAAACATTAATCTAAATCCTCTGGAAAGCACGAGATTTTGTTTCTGGATTGCTATAGCTACAAGCAGAGTCTATCTAGCTTTCTATGATATAAGTGGCACTAAATCCTACAGAGATGCAAGCTCACTGTATATTTTCTGTTGACTGACCTTTAAAGCAGAATAGTGAAAACAAATCAATTATTTTGAAAATGTACTCATAAAATAAACTAGGAGCACAAATGATGAAGTATAGACTTATAAGCATTACCATCAGAAGCATCAATTTCTAGCACTACATCTCATTCCCTTGGTAGTATTTTGCTACCTTTGTGTGTGTGTACAAGTGTATATATATATACCACACCATTATATCATTCTTACTTTCGCTTAAGATAACCAGACACATTCAATAAGAAGTAGAGTTGAACTGGCTAGGAAAACAAAGTAAATGAGTAAGGCTTAAAATCTACAGCCTAATATAAAAAAAAGTCTGTATTATTTAGCTACCTTTAAAGGGTACTATGGAAACTCTTTTACAAAAGAGATATTTATTTTTTTGTATATTTACAAAAGGTAGACTGCTACAAGGGAAGATGACCATAAAAAAAAGAGAACCGCCACGTCAAAATTAGGGAAATATTGAATTTCTAATATTTTCTTTACCAGTCACTTTAGCTAGGGTAGCTTTCTTCAAATAATTATTTATCACATAATTCCTATGAATTATCTGACAACACAAAAAGTGTAATGTAAATTCAGGTATTAGAGAAATCAAAGACAAGAAAACTGCTAACATGCAATGATCACTTTTCAGGGGTCGTTATGCTCTGCCCACCATTTAATAAACACTTATCTAAAATTTTACATGATGATGTTTTGAGTTATTTCACTAATCTAGTATTTTTCTTTGCCAAGAAATCTGTAGTCTCATTTGATTTTCCACATGCATCTAAGTTTTCCTTTCTTACCCCTATTTTATGAACATATTTTTTTAAATATCCTGATTCCTTTCACTCCTTCTACTGAGAAATACCCATTTCCTTGATCTTCTTTATTTGATAACATCATTCTGTACTTTGTCATCTTTTATTAAGTTATATTGGCCTATTCCTGGTGTTCTGGGCTCGAAGTAGAATTTAATAGATGTTTTCCAATCATAGAATCAAAACCAGTGGGGGTGAGAGGAAAGCAATAAATTGGGTTAAAAGATCAAAGCGCTTTATCCTCCCAAAGCCTTCACACAAGACAAGGAAAATCATCCTGAAATTCACCTTCCATTTCCAGAAGGAGATTCTACATCACAATCAACGGGTACAGAATTACTGTCTGTCCCAACTCCTTGTGATTTCTTGAAATTTAAAAAAAATATTCCAGGCTATCTGAAGAACAGTTAAAAAAATCATAATTATTTCAGATATTATTGGCATTTACGGAGAACTACTTTGAAGCCATTTAGATACTATATATTTTAATTCTCTTTAAATGCCAACAAATACTAGCCAAAAAACGTAATAAATTTTGCTGAAGAGCTGATGAATCTTTAAGACAAAAGCTGCAACGACAACCAATAAAGAAAAGCAAAGCAAATGTTTACTCAAAAAAGATAAAATAGTTCTGTAAAAAATTATCAATTATTTTTTACAGACATAATCCTTTCAAACAGATTCTGTAATTACATTGCATCATTTTATAAAGGTTCTTACTTTTTAAAGGGTATTATATGAAATTAAAATTTCAATTAACAAACTTTCATGTAATGATTCATGAACAAGGGGCCTAATGAAGTAAGTAAACATTTTATAGTAGTGTATTCATTATACACAACAGAAAATTTGTAGAGGGTGAAATTACCTTAACTATCATAAAGGCTTACAATTTAAGTAACATACAGGGTAGGAAAAAAGTACGTTCATAGTTGTTTGTATGGAAAATAATACGATAATAAATAATACAAGAATAAATTCATTGTTTCACATACTCACAACTGTATAAAGAATATAGAAAGAGGACAAAATATAATTTTAATGACTAGTTCTGAGTTCTAAAACATTAAATAGTACTAAAGTTAGAAAATTTTTGAAGCTGAAATTCAATAGAATATGGGCAAAGAAATCATGAAAAAGAAAAAAATGGCTGCATGCCTAAAATTAGATAAGGCATGAATGTAAACATAAGTTTACTGCAGTTATTGTTTTAAATTTTTTCAATCTTTTAAAACCTAAGTAATCATGAAAATTTATTTTTCTTCTTTAGCCCCAAATTAAGTATTCTTGAAAATGTGTCATCAACAGCAACTGTAACTGGGGAATAAAATTTAAAAGGCAGTTGCTCCTTTTAAAATATTATATTTATTTTATATGTATACTCTAAAAGCATGTAATTAAAAACATTTTTTCCAAGAGGTCCAGAAACACCAAGAAAAAAGGTCTATAATGTTGACAAGATGTAATTTGTATCAGTCTATTTTAGCTACTGCACTGTTGGTCAAAGAATATGTATAGTTGGGCTTTAGTGCTACTAACTCAATGCATATAAAAAGGACCACGAAGCAATGTCATCTCATACCTTTCGTCTTAAAGGAGAAGTTACAGTAAGTGCAGTGGTAGGGGCGGACATCTGTGTGGGTTCGTATGTGTTTCTTTAACATACTAGGTTTCTTACAACGAATTCCACATTCTTCACAAATGTACTTTCCTCTTCCCCTGCCTCGGACATATACATACTCTTCATTTGATTTATATCTAATTTAAAGAAAGAAAAATGAATAGGGAAATTGGATACTATGTCTTTGATAAAATATTGATGATTAAAATTCAACCTAAAAAATAAAACAAGGCACAATTTTTAGACTCAATCAATATAAATTTTATGCATGTACAAGTAACAGAATATTCCAGCTTTTCACGTCAATGCTTGATATTCTAGTAGCTAATTCTAACTAAACAAACTTATTCAATACTGCGTTTAATTTTAAAATATTTTCTAAGTCGCTGGGTTTAAAAGTTTTCTTTACTGTTAAATTCAACCACAACAATTGTAATTTCTGAGTTTCATGATAATTATAATTGGCTTTTACATTTTGGTTTTCTCATAACCAAACACACAAAGACATCAACTAGGCAATGAACTGATCTCTCAGAGCAGGTTTTCCAAGTCATTCCTTATTGTAAATCCGTGTGAATGCCAAGGTTCACTCTGCAAGCTCTGTTCTTAACTGCCTCCTAAGACCTACAATGTTTCCTAAATAGTTATCATTTTATTGAACAAAATGGAATTATTTAACATGATACCGAATACATATTTTGCCATGAAGATTCTGTTAATAAGCTGAGATACCTTACAATATTTACATAAAACTGGCACTGGTAAGTCTTCATTCACATGAAAGCAAATGTACATTTAAAAAGAAAGTTTAAATGTACATTTAGGAAGTAAAATTTGTACTTGCCCTCCATCAAATATTTTAATTCTTCTTGGTTCACTTTTGATTAAGGAATTCTCTTTATCTTGCTCACTGTTAATTTCAGAGGCATCTTTACTGCTGAATTCAACTACTGTGGACTTTTGATTACCTAATGCTCTCTGAAAGGAAAAAAAAAGAGAAACTAATTTAATAAAACTGAAAACATAAACATGCTAATGTTTCACTTGGAAAATAAAACATGGCAGGGTACAGTGCACATAGTAAACTTCACGAAATACATTTCAAGAAAGTAACAGGTTAAAGGTCATTTGCTTTTTCTCCTCCATTATCTTTAAATGTCTGTCTAGACCACAGCAAACTGATAAATCTTATGCTATTTTAAACTCCCACCGCAGTCCACTGACACCCCCAAATGAAGGCTTTAACAACCTCCCATCCAGGTACTCTGTGAATTTAATAGGAACTTTTTTTAATAGACTAAACATTTCTTATATCTAACCAACTACTCATACTACAATTTAAGTGTATTTGTTAAAAAGTTTATTCTTTGGAGATGGAAAAGAGCGAGTCACTCCTTTTGGAATAATAAGTCATTCTTCCAAGAAACATGACTAAATCCCCTTCAAGTTCAATGAACTGTTATGTTAAAGCATAAGCTCATTTGCCCGTATTTTCTTCTCCCCTTCTCCCATCACTTTAACCCATAATTATGTTTCCTCTCTGTATCTTCTCAAAAGTTCCTGAATACTGAGAACTGTGAGGTACAAATACAGGTCAGGTCAAATTGGGGTTCTGGCTTGATAATAATTAAATCTCCAGAAAAAAAAGGCAATGAATTCACAATGATAACACCGTGTGCTCTTCTAAAGAAAACATTATGGTAACACCACCTTGTGACTTTTATACAACCGCACCATTCACAAGTTTTCTTACTCCTCAGCCCATTCCACTCTCACACAGCTTTGTAAGGCAGGCCGCAGAAGTGGATTATCTCCCAGTGAGGAAAGACATTCTCAGAGTTAAGTCACTTGTGCAAAGTCAAGTGTTAACAGCAAAGGCTTAAAATTAAACTCCGGTTTCCTGCCCAACTCCAACACAAGGCACAAGTTTTCAAATCGAGGTTTGTTACAAACCTCCTTTAAAAATTATATCACCATGCAGACAGCTATTATACCAAGATGACTTATATTCTTGGTTTCTCTTCAAAATGAATAAATCTTTTGCTTTTTACCAAGGTGACTTAATAATAGTGATAAGACAGTGTGTGCATCATGGATGGAGGGCCTCTGTGGCCGCAGAAAGAGGACCGTGGGAAGCCCCTGTCCTCACAATGCCAGAAGAAAAGCTGCCTGCCTGAGTTTCTCAAGAAGGTAGTATGAGGAGGTAATGGCACTGACTCTGATAGGTAAAAGTCCCACTGACTCCTTTTCTTTTCCCGGCAAACATCAGGTTTCCCCACCATTTGCTATATATACAAGAACCTTTCCTTGACTTTATACCTTTAAGAGTAATCCTACTTACCTTCTTCTCAATTCCAAATTCTCACTTTTCTTTTGCTTTCTTACTATGAAATCTGGTTTCTATTTATCACTTACCAAAGAGCTAAATGCTAAAATCCTTACCATTTTCTTAACATTTATATGCTTGACCATTCCGTGGCATTTTATGTTGCTGATGTCTTGTTTCTCCTAGAAATACTCTTACTTTAGCATCTTTCTGTTCTTTTCCATTGTGAATTATAAATACTTATACATTAACATTTGGGTTGTGAATTAACCTTCAACCTAAGAAATCAGTTAATTAATTAGTTTCCCCAGTACCTCCACGTAGCAGTTGCCTGGTCTGAGGTAGGGAGATTTTTCTCCTACTCTACCACTTTAAAGTATTTTATTTATTCATTGATTGATTTATTTGTTTACTCCCCACATATTTGCTGAGATTATGCTATGTTCTAGGCATTGGGTATATATAACTCAAGAAAATACAATCTAAGCCCCGGCAGAGCTCAGACTCTAATCTACAGTGTCTATTACAGTAGTTATTAGCACACATATAGAATATTTCCATCATCTGAAAGTTCTAATGGACTGTGTTGGTGCAGTAGAAGAGAAAGATACAAAAACTCATCACTAAAATACAATAAAGTATCAAAATGGAGTTAGATACAAGGTATGGCAGCTGAACAGAGGTAATACTACTTAATTGGCATTAATTACAAAGATCAAAAGCTGATACTTAAGATGAATTTTTAATGACTAAAAAGATTTGGTCAGTCATCCTAGAGAGTATATTAATAAACAGTATATCAATAAGCTAGGAAACATAAGAAAACTCCTGATTCATACTCCTAGTTTAGGTGTTCGGATGAAGAGGGACTATAGATGCATGCCCATATGACTCACGTCTCCAGTGGTATCAGAATTGCTCAGTCCGAATACAATGTTAGTCTAGCTTTATTTGACCTCTCTGCTTGAACAACTTTCCTTGAAATACCTTTTCCTTGATCTGTGTAATACCACTTTCTCATAGCTCTTCTCCTTCCTCTATTAACAATCTCTGTCAGTTTCTTATGTGGACTTTCTTTGTCCATTCAACGCTTTACATAGTTGTGATTCCCGGGACCATTATAGCCGTTGTCTTCTCTTTACACTTTCCCTGAGCTATCTCACTAATTACATCCAGGTACTGAAAAACCTCCACACCTTCCACTCAGAACTCTCTCCTAGTTTCAAATCTAGATGTTTCTGAAGGGATTTCTACCAAGTCACTTGGTACTGAAGAAAAGCTACTTTTCATAGGCACTTCAGGAATATACTCGAAGCTCTGTTTAGATTCTCACGCTCAGGTCTCATCTTCCAAGATTCTGATTTAGTAGCTCTAGAGTCGAGTCTGAGCATTTAAAAACTAAATTCACCCTCCTTCACTGAGAAAGTATCAATAGCTCTCATCTACCATGCATATTTGGTTCTTACCTACACTTTCAACTCCTAACTTAACAACACCTTCTAGCTATGACAGACTCCTTGGGGTTCTTTAGATGAACCAAGTTCTTTCTCATTTCCATGTCATTCATCAGATTATTAAAATTTCTCATTCTTGTTTGCCTGGGAAATAAAACTCTATTTTTTTTATTTTTTAAAGACTCAGCTAAAGCTCTGGCTGGGTGGTTCAGCTGGTTGGAGCACCATCCTGTAAACCGAAGGGTCACGGATTGATTCCTGGTCAGGACATATAACTAGGTTGTGGGTTTGATCCACAGTCCTGGCATGCAGGAGAAACAACAGATCAATGTTTCCCTCTCACATCAAGGTTTATCTCCCTCCCTCTCTCTCCCTTCCTCTCTCTCTAAAATCTTTAAGCATGTCCTCAGGTGAAGATTAAAAAAAAAAAAAAAAGGACTCAACTAAGTCAGCATTTTTGGAGTATCTTCCCTGTATCCGTACCTCCTCAACCTATAGGTAATGTTAGACTTCCTTCTTTGAAAATTGTATATACTTCTAGTGTAATAGTGAACTGTGATATTTTCCTATCAATGAGTATGTATATGTTTATGAACCTGTATTATGTGCTTGAGAACCTGCAGTGGGCAAGTACTCCCAATGTTCATAATGCAACACAATACTCTCTTCCTCCCTCTCTCTCCCCCTTCCTCCTTTCCATTCTCCCTCCCTCCCTTACTTAAATGACTTTTTCCCGTTTTATAAAGCCGACAACTCTTAATAATACCGATTCCACATTACTCTATAAATCTTGACCAGATTAACATAATCATCAAGTGAATGAGTTAGTTATTTTGGGAATCCTCTCTACTACTAAGATGATTTTCAGAACTACAGAATGACTTATATTTCAAAATGATATATAATCATCTTATATTTCAAAATGATATACAATAGCTTTTGACTATTCATCTCTGCTCTCTGTCATTAGTAAGGACAAAGCATAATCTCCTCTCAATAATACAAACAAAATATTCATATAAGAGGAAGATGAAAGTAAGACCATAATTATTGTACCAAAAAGTAAAGACTTAAATACTCAGCTGAGGAAAAACAGTGCACAGGGCAAGTTATCATTTTCAAAATGTTTCAAGATACAAAGGATTCTAGGTAACTCTTATCAGTGTTGACTCCCAGGGCATATTTATCATCCTTTCTTTCTAATAACTATACACTCATAAAGTACAATTTATCATTCACTACTTCTAATTAAAGTACTTAAAGTCATCAAGACATGTTAAAATTCATTTACACAAACGATTTTTGAAGGTAAATGATATTTCAAGTACCTTGCTTAAGTCGTTTTTCCACTTGCTTGAATAGACCAACAAATCTGATTTGGAACGAGTGGTTATTGCTTGACAATACAGTGATTTTCCAGTCTTCTGTCTTGAATTAAGGAGAGAAAGAGCAACTTTTGTAGGCAAACCAAGTGGATTTGGATTACTGGCGCTTACTGTCCAGTCAGTATAGGCTGAAGTTTTCTGGTCATTCTGAGGCAAATGCAATGTTTTCTGTCTGAACAGGTAACACCATGTAAAGCTGGTTGTGGTCTTCAGGCTGGGGAAAGACAGCTGGTGCGTGTCTCCGGCATCCAACACTGAAACAGCGGTGGTTGTACGATGACTTTGTTCTTGGATGTTCACATTGTCACCTTGACTTTTAACCTCTGGAGACTTCCTTTCCTGGTTATTGTCTACACATTCCAATGGAGAAATGTGGGTATTTTCTGAAGGAACAGGTGAATTTCTAACTGTAATAGTTAGCGATGCAGATGACTTGATGTTTTCAAATTCCTGCAGCTCTTTTATAGGTTCTATAACTATAGACTTAGATTGTCCTGATGACAAATTATCGGCTGGTAAAACATCTGTCAAATTAACAGCCTCACTACTAATTTCAGGTTGAGAAAAAATATCCTGTTCCAATGTTACACCTTCAAGGGGCTCTGTGGTACAAACCTGCCTCACCAAAACAGGTTTCTTCTGCTTGTTAACTTCATTAGCTCTTGAACTCAGTGGTTCAAATGGTCTAGTATCTGCTGCACAAACAGCTCCATTTTCATCTTTAGCTCGCTTTTGGTGCTTTTCCATGTCAATGTCTAAACTATTTGCTGGGGAAAGCATCCTTTTACTTGAAGCTGAAGATTCTTGTTGGGGGGAAAGTCTAACAATAGGCATTTTCTGAGTTCCAGGCAAGGGTTCTGACAGAGAAGAATTTTGGCCCATCTCTGAAAAAACATTTTCACAAACAAGCTCTTCCTCTGAGTTTGGCAAAGCATTCTGGTGAACCTGTTGCAATTTTGGCAGGGAATTTTGTTCTTCACTGATTGGCACCACACTACTACTAGCCTGGCAAATTGGCTGATTGGACAGGTCTTGAGTCACAAGGATTTGTGGCAGAGGTGTGACTGTGGCAAAGCAATACCCTGGAATATTACTCTGTAGATGCACGGGCACTGAAAGTGATGTCGGCACCTTCTGCGCCTGACCACTGAGCGGCCCGAGCTTCAGTGGTGGTGGAGCACATGAATTAGAAATGGCATCTACTAATTTGGTTGGTAATGCTAATGAAGACATACAATGGTCGGTCCCAACTGGATCTGATAGACTTTGTTTTGGCAAAGAATGTACAGGATTAGAAGAGCAGGACTGGCTTGAAGTGAAAACCTGACAGTGCAGTTGGTACTTAGGAGCAAAGCAATCCTCACTTTCAGAAGATACACATACACTGGGATTTGCATCTGGTTTGACACTTGGTGTAGACACCTGCAGAGACATCTGTGTGCTCTGGTGGCGAAGGGGTGCATGGATTTGATTTAACAAATTAATACCATAAAGCTGTTGAACAGGAAAGATGTTAGTAGAGTTGGAATTTGAAGTTTCTGTTTGCAGATCTTTCACTTGAGTCTGGGAGTGCCTAGTATTTGCAGGAAACTCAGCTAAGAACGTATTAGTGAGCTGAGGCCCCTGAAACGGCACTGCATTCACACCAGGAAGTGCAATAGCTTGGAAAGATGATGGGGTCCCAGGAGACAGATGGCTATCTGGAGCTATGTTTAAAGAAATCTGCCGAATCAGTGGGCCTCTCCTTCTTTCTAAAAGCGGCACGTGCCCAGTCACTCCCATGCCAGAAGGGGATGTTGGAGGCAAGTCTGTAAGTGGCATTGTCTGAGGTGGAGTTATGCTTCCACAGTCAAATGATTTACTTCTGAAATCAGAGATCTCCATGGATGTTTGCATGCAGTTAATCTGTTCTGAGGCAGCACGCCTCATTTCCCGTTGAGTTCCAGGCACATTAAGTGTATTAGAGCCAGCTGGGATCATGAGAAACTCTGTTTTATTGAGAAAAGCGATTTGGGGGGAAGCCTCAGTTTTAGAAACGTCCTCTACATCTAACGAAGCTGAGAAACTTGAGGTGTGAGACAAACTGCTCTCCTTACTTAGACTCCTGGAGAGAGTGGAATCAAAACTTGACTCGGTTGAGGAATGCTCTATCTCAGCAAGACGGAGCCTCTTCTTTTTGGGTGGCAGTTTCTCTGTTGGCAATTTTGACAACGTTTCACTACGCTGAGGCCAACTAAACTTCTCCGACTTTTCCTGATCAGGTACTTGGGTTCCAAGGTCCCGATCTGGCTCTTCTGTGACCAGAATTTCTGGAACCTGTATGTTGTGCTGCCGAACAAGTCTTGAAGACTGTCCTAGCACATGACGTTCACTTGAAATCTTTCTTGAACCTTCCTGAAGTTCTGCTCTAAGAGTATCTGATAGTGCAGGCTGTTGAAGATGAGATGTGTTCTGAGAAGGGCTGCCTTCCTCTTGGGAAATTCCTATCACTTTCAGGGACCCAAGCTTCACTGTTCTACTCAGCTCCTGGAGAGAAAGCGGAGAGCCTCTTTCAAAAGACTCAAGCTTATCAAATGAATTGGGTCTGCTCAGTGAGTTTGTATGCTGGATGACTGAGATTCCGGTTCCATGTCTCTTCAACTCTGTCTTGTCCTGGGCAGCTGCTGGATTTGTCTGCTGTTCCATGATGGTGGACAGCTTTGGATCCATGATCTGTTCGGGGCTTCTGGTAACAAGCTGAATTTGGGAGTTTTGCAACTGTATATTTTGATGCTGCTGGTCACTTGGTTTGACAACATTACGTTTAGGCAAACTGGAAGACGAGCCCAGAGTATTCTGAAACAGAAGGCCTTCGGAGCTTTTCGGAGAAGCTTCACTTTCATTTTGCTGAACTTCATCATCATCTCCAACACTTTTCATTTTCCTCCTTTTTCTTATCTGGGGCGTCTGCTCCCAGGCCCCAGTGGAACCAGCAACCCTGTAGTGCAGAATCTGAGGCTGGGTACTGCTGGGCATGGGGCTATGTTCAGGTTCTCTCACAGCTACCTTTGTTTTTGGCCCATGTAACTCTGAACAGTAAAATTTCTTATGGTTTTCAAAATTTTCCAGTTTTCTATACCTGTTTCTACAAGTTTCACACTCAAACATTGTCCCTCGTCCTTGATGAGACTTCTTTTTTTCTAAATGTGATCCTGGTGCCAATGACTTGTTCCTTGCTGCTACAGTTTCACTCGTGGCATTGCATCCTTGATAGCTCTCATCCAAGGACTGTCCAGTACTGAGAACATGCATTTCACTTATTGAAGAGTCTTCTACTGCTGTTTGTCTGACAAGGGTACGGGGATGTCCACTTGGGGGCACAGAAGTGTTAGGTCCTGATACAAATACATCATCGTAGAAAGCGCCAATTTTGTCATCAAATGACTGACTGCCTCTCAGTGGATGAGGGGGAGGTATTATGTTTGCAGGTACTGCTGAATAACCTGTAGTAGGCACAGAATTACTTCTCGTAATAGGTAAACAGTCAAGGGAAGCTACAGACAGAAGAAACACTTGCTTTGATTTCTCAGTAGGGGTAAAAGGGGACTTTGGTATATCAGAGCTTGAACTTGTTCTCCGTCCCACTGGTTTTAAATCAAACTGGAAAGAATCCTTGAATATGTATGATTTGGGGGAATCAATACTTCCTCGCCGTGAAAGAGAAGTTCTCCGTGGCTTTACACTATCCAGTTGCTTATCATCTACCAAGGCTTCATTGTCAGAGATAAGCTTTGATATCCGTTCTTCAAGTGTTTTTGTTGCCAAAGGTGGGCGCATCTGACCTGGTAAAAGCAATGCTTTTTCACCTGTTGGCAATGTAGAAGGTGCTGGTGTATTGATACGAGGTGCAGAGGGCCCATTATTCTTATTTGAATCTTGTTCCATAGTGGGTAATGTTCTGGCAAAGGGAGTTGGTGGACTCCCTGTTTGATCAGCACTTTCAGAACGTGAAAAGTAACCAGAATCTGTACTTCCTAAACTTCGAGGACTCAGAAGTTTTCCTTGTTGCTCCTGGGAGTAATCGGTAGCCTGCTGCCTTTGTAGTTGGGCATGTACTGTTCCTACAGGAGATTCTTGTTTTGCCTCTAGTTGACTCATGTCCCCTTTCTGATGGGACTTTTCATCAGTCTCCAGGGAGGATGTCCAGGTTGAATATGACAGCCCACTGGCAACCTGAAGGTCCTTCTGTTTCTGTGCACTAGAAAGTTCAGGCTTAGAATCTGCAAATTTTGGGCTGTCAACTCTTAATGGGGATGACACATTGATAGGGTGGACCACAACTTTTGGTAACTTTGTCACAGCTTGTGATTCTGAAGATTTGTCCTGTAATGAAACATCGCCTACCACATGATCTGGATTGCTTGGGCTGGAACTTGATTTTGGTAAAGCTTCAGAACTTGGTATCATTTTCATTATCTGCATAGGCTGCAGGTCCATGGAGCCTGGCTCATTCTGTCTTTCATCAGCAGCATTCTCGTCATCGCTCTCCCCACTGTCTTCTACGTCTGAATGAATACTAAGTGCTTTGGGGGATGCGTGTGACAAGAACAAACCACCAGCATCTGGCTGCAAGACAAGTCCCAGTTTGATAGTATGTGCATGAGATTTTTTGTGCTTATATAGATTACTTTTAGTCTTAAATGAAAATCCACAGGTCACACAGGGATAGGGTCGCTCTCCAGTGTGGGAGCGGATATGCTTTAGAAGCACACTTGGCTTTGCACAAGCTCTATTGCAATATTCACAAATATATTTTCCTTGCTTTTTTGGCTTCTGATCTTTCAGAAGAAGATTGCACATTTGCTCTACGCTGTGATTCACAACAGAGGCGACAGGAGTTGAATTATAAATTGGAGTGGGAGGTGACTGTGTAGACTGGGCTGGACTTACTGACACAGGTGAAGCAGAATCCATTTGCTGGTTTTGAGGAGTAACCTGAGTTCTATTGGAAGGTGAAGTTAGACCTATAGATGATGTCACTGCTATATGATACACTTGTTCAAGTTTGGGGTTCTCTTGATTGTGCAGGCTTGCAAATGATCTTGTGAAACCTGAACACATTGGAAGCTGCTGATTTTGTTGGTTCAATTTAGAAACAAAGTGTTCATGTTGATTATATGAATGAGAAATTGACTGAATTGATGCCTGCTCGTTCTTCTGAGCAGTAGACACATGCACTGTGTATGAGGTACAAGAAGACTGTGATTCAGAAACAAATTCTTGTGAAGTCTGATTTGGGGCATCTATTGAACTGTTTTTTAATTGAGAGGGGGATTGTACAGTTTTGTTTGGTCTTGGTTTTTCTATCTTAACTGCACAAGACGAGCCCTTTTGTGACAAGGTGCTCAGTTCTGGCTCCATTGCTTTCAGTAAGACATCAAATGCGGTGTTTGTATATGAGGAGGAAGTAGTACTACAATTAGAGGAGATACATTCACTATGGTCAGTCCTGGTTTTACTTGACAAAGAGCTAGATTCACATTGTCCATCGAGGAAATTTAACTGGGTGGGGTCAGAGCCTTCTGATCTCCATCTACGCAGTTCAGACGGATGCTGCAGAAATGAGGGCTTCTTTGGGGAGACAGATCCTTCAGACTTAGAGGCCTCGGCAATTATCCCGGGTGTTTCTCCATTTTGTTTGGTAAACGGCTTCCCATTTTTTATAGGACTATGATTCTGTTTCTTGTGAGACTCTGAAATATTCTGAAGAACAGCGAAAGATGACTCTTCCGTAGAAGAGTTGTGTTTATGTTTTGCCTGAAGAGGATTTCTCAGTGGGGATTTTGGTATTTTTTTCAGGTGATTCTCAGCTACAATCTTTTTCCGTTTCACACCTTTAAGTGACTCTGAAGTTCCCTTAATACCAGCCTCCAAGATTTCTGTTAAAAAAGAAAAAAAAAGCAATTGGCAAAATGATACATATACCAACTGTAACTTTTTTTAAAAATTGAGATTGCCATCATGAAGGTGTTATAACAATTGAACAAGGTACTTTGATGAAAGCCTATTTGGGATAAAACTGCATTCTAACATTCTTAAGAATGTTACCAATCGAAACCTATTAAAATAATCTCACAAAGACCGTAATGTACGGTTCTATAATACTGTGTTATTCTCTTGACCCTCCACACTCACCAAGATCTTGGGACCAGATCTTTCAAAACTAAATTATCTTCCCCTTTCCTCCTCATAGCTGAGGATTCTGTAACAGTCTGAGAGGGCTGTCCCACAAATAAGAGAGGTCAACTCTTTAATTCAGGGTACTTGACTGTCTTATCACTTCTAGTATCTTTTCCAGCAAACTAAGTTCTTAGCAAATTTCTAAATAACATTAGTATTCAAACTATGCAATACTGATATTCTTGTAAGAAAATGGGCTACTATATAATAATTTTTATAGCAAACATACCTCATTATTATCTCAAGATAATCATAAGATATTAGCTGAGAGAACCATGAAGTATTACTTTATTAGCAATTGTATCAGTGAACAAAAATATATGAGTAAAATAAGCCACTTTTTTGTGGCTCTTCACCAATAAATTAAAAAGCCATAATGTTGTAATGTCCCTCAGTTTAAAAAAAGTCACCAACTTAACTGAACAAAATATTGAATGGCTATATTTCTTTGTTATTAATGACAGATAGGTAGGGAGGAGGGAGGAGGGAGGTAGATAGGTAGATCGAGGTTATTGCAGAGGAGATGAAACCACCTCCATTTCTGGCTGTGCTGGAAATAGATCATCACTTAAATAGTATCAACAACCCACAATCTCTACCAACTATTACGTTTTTGAGCAATAATTACTTGCCATAATTTGTTTTCATTGCTGAATCCTTGGGCACATAAAAATTATTCAAGTTTATATTACTTATTTGTAGAAGAACCAAATACTGTAATTCCTCATCATTTACAAATAGCAGTTGCAATAGACACATTTGAAATTCACATTAGACCAAAATGCCTACACCGTAACAACCACTTTGCATTCAGGGAAGACAAAATCTACACAAAAAATATTCTAGTCATCTTGTGATGGTTTATGTGCTGTCATATATTTGTGTAATTAAAAAAATAAATACTAATCCGACAGTAACATTCACCCACCATAATCAGAAGGTCAGAAAAAAAAAGGTGACAGGGGTGGGGTCTCACAACCAAAATATTTAAGCTAAAGAATAAGGAAAAAGTATCAACTTTGTTCCTATCTCTACAAAATGATGTTGAACAAATCTTTTTGTTTTTAATCTACTCATTTATGAAATGCTGTTTTCCCTCTTCCAGATGAATGCAATGAAGTCATTATGTACTTTATTACTCTCATTAATTAGATCAAGAAAATGAGCAAAAGGAAAAATGATAATCATCCAGGGTGAGTAGTTCTTCCCTTACTTCCAAAAAGTCTGGAAGTACATTGTAATGAAAATCAAAGCCACTAGGCTGTTAAAATAAGTATAAAAACAGAGAAGGGAAACCACTTCATGAGGAGCAGCAGTTCCCAGCTTGGGCAACTGTCCAAGTGTAAACATCACAGATTAAAAAAATCCAGAAAAAACAAGTGGGCCCATCCAGAGCACTTGTTGGGGTAAATATATTTATTTATTATTTTTTACGTATTTTGGGACTGTAAATTTAAGGACTTGCAGCTGTTGGTGTTAGGCAGTGAAAGGGTGGGGGAAGGGAAGGAGTTGTAGGAAGGGGGAGGGAGAGAGAGTGGGTGGAGGGGGAGAGAGAGAAAACAAAACAGGGAGGGTACCAGGCACATAGATGAATATCTCACTATCATTCTAGAGGTTGACTTAAAGCAAGTTGATACCTCACTACTGACTGTCAGTCTTCCTCCTTGATCCTCAAGATTTGGGACTGAAGTGCACAGAGTGGGTGCACTAATAAAAATAAAAGCTTTTGGGATAAGCTTTTATTTTTAGATAAACAGATCTATAAAAAGATTAAATAATCTTTTATACTAAAAAAAAAAACAAACAAAAATCCAACCCACAGTCAGAACACCAGAAACACATTGTTTTAAAGGAATTGTTCTATCTTATGTTTTAAACAAAAAGAGTAAAATGTATCTTTGTTTGTACTTACATGCAAATAAAGCTGAATTGAAAATAAAGGAATTACTAAGCTTAAGATCCATATTTCTTTAGAGACACATTTCCTAAAATTTTCTCTGGAGCTAAGAGAAGGGGAGGGAGGAATGGATGAAAGAAGAGGAAGGGATTAGCCAAAGAACATGTATGCATCACCCATAAATACAGAGGACAGTGTGGTGAAGGGTAGAGGGTAGGGGGGCAGGGGCTGGGTGGAGGTGGGAAAAGGGGGCATTTGTAACAGTGTCAACCACAATGAAAAAAATAAAATTAAAATAAAGAATTTGAAAAATCCTATTTTAAACAGATTTTTTGAATTTTTGAATGAGATGATTCAATTTTAGATGAAAATTGAATCATCTTTATTCTGTCAAAGTTTATATTTACATTCTATTTGCATAATTGTTTATTCCCAGTTCTCTATTTGAATTTTAACATCTGGTGCTAAGTCACCAATTCTTTCCTTCAAACCCTTGTACACTCCAGGGCCTCTGGCAATGGTGCTCATGTGGAAAAGCCTCCTGGCAGCCTGGCTGATAGTCTCCCTTCCATGAGGTGACTTGCCTTTTTTCTGCATGTATGTCTGCCAATTCTTTATTTTTGAAGTCTCTATAACATAACTAGGAGTCAGCTTGTTGTTAATCAATGTCTAACTTGTAATTTTTTTCCCTAGAACATGATAACCTTTTCTACAAGATCAGTTTAGCCTATTTCATAAAATTTGTATTATATATTCAAATATATTTTCTGGTCAATTTTTTTTCCAGGGTGGGCTTCCTTAGTTTATGAACATCGATTATCTTTATGCCGTATCCCCATTATGATTTATATTGCTTGCGTCATTTTCTTTTTTGCTTTTGTTTTCTCTAAAATTATTTAAAGCTTTTCCCTTATGTCAATAATTCACTTCCCAGGCCATTAAGTTCCTTATTGTTTCAAACTGTCCGTTTTGGACTGCTGTTGTTTTGTTTTCATTTTGTTCCCTTAGTTCCCTATTTCCCATTTCATTTCATTTTATTGTCTCATATTATGTTTGAGCTTTTGTTTTAATAAATTTGTGATCTTATGAAGGTCTATGCCATTAAGCAGTTTTGGATTTGTCTTTTCATGTTCTCTCTGCTTTCAAGTGCCCAAGGTCATGGGGAATGACCAATGGGTGGCATTTGACTGAGAATATGTTCCTAACTGTCTCTGTCTGAGTTTTACTTATTCATTCTTTTAACATTTTGCTGGATCTCTTTTACCAGGGTTCACTCTCCTGTTGAAGGGGTAAAGCCCATTCCACCATGGGTGGTTGGGTGGGGGTGACCCAGAATGTTGAATCAGCCTGTAAATTTAAGGACTTGCAGCTGTTGGTGTTAGGCAGCGAAAGGATGGTGGAAGGGATGGAGGGGGGAGGTGTAGGAAGGGGGAGGGAGAGAGAGTGGGTGGAGGGGGAGAGAGAGAGAAAACAAAACAGGGAGGGTACCAGGCACATAGATGAATATCTCACCATCATTCTAGAGGTTGACTTAAAGCAAGTTGATACCTCACTACTGACTGTCAGTCTTCCTCCTTGATCCTCAAGATTTGGGACTGAAGTGCACAGAGTGGGTAGCTAAACCATATGGCTAGAAATTAGAGATAGAAGCATCCTCTTGGGAACCAATGCCCTAGATAGGAGGTGGCAGACCCTTAGGTCTTAGGAGAATGATTCACCTGGGTTACTGTTTTAAACTTATCTTAATCTTGATTAGTTTCAAATCTATTAGAGAGTGACTGGAGTTATTTTCTCCTGCCCCCTTCCTTATCTAAAGATAAGAGCACAGTCATCAAACATTTTGGCTATATCTACAACATCTAGCATAGAGTTATCATAGGCCACAGAGTTTAGAGGATGCATAGACCAGAATGCATCAAAGCTGAAATACAGCTGGGGTAGAGGAAGGTTGGAGGAAGTAGCTATTTACCATCAGCACTTGAGCTTTTTAATAATTTTCAAGGCACTTTGTTGTTAGGGTAGACTAAAATAAAAATAAATTAAGAGGAAGGAGGGCGAAAGAAAAACCATGAAACAAGTGGTACAAGACAGCCCAAGAAGGGTGCGTCTTTAGTATGTCCCCAAAAACCTGTGCACAGGCCCACCCTCTGCCTTATAGGATGGACACTGCTTTATATTTATGCCCTTATGATTTCACAGCTGCTTAAAAAATAACAACAACACAGGGTTGGATATGCTTGGTGCACATAACCTTCAGTGTAAAAGAAGAAACACAACCATCTTTCCTTATGCAATAAGAACATATAGTCAGATTGGAAAGCAGGTGGGTAAGGCTCAAAAAAGGAATCAACCAACTGCTGAAAATTATATTCTGGTCAGTGTGCAACTGGAAATGACTGACAATCAGGAGAAACTCTGAGACATCAACATGTCAGAAATCCAAATGGGAATTCATTTAACACGCACAAATCACACCCAGGAGAGGAACCAAAGCTGGCAGTGTCATCACTGTTGGAATCTTTAGACTTATGGGACGTCACACAAAAAAGCCAGAGTTCTCCATCAGGTTGGCAGCTGACAACAGCTTGGAAAGACCAGAGAGGCCACGTGACTGGAGGTGAATGGTGAGGGAAATATGAGCTAATGTTCTTAGGTTCTCCAAGGCACTGGCACTTCATATATCCAGACACAAGCCTAATCATTATTAGGGCTCCTGTATTTTTTAGAGGAGAGCACCAAGGATTTTTAGAATTGCACCATCAGCTGGTTTCCTGAATTACTTCCAGAGAATAACAGATGAAA